CGCTAGCGTAGTAGTCGCGAATGCATCTCCAAGATTGTTAGCTGAAATGCCAGTGCCACAGAGTCTCACAAATGAGGGTAGGGATTATGGTGTGTCGAGCCAGAGGGGATATGTGCGACGGGAACCCAGAGTAGGGATCAATACACAGGGGGTTTCGAAGTTAGCATTGCCACAGTGTGAGGATATCCTTGATCTAGATTCTCATTTTGAGGTTGTTGAGGGGATTTTACAAGAATCTGGGGCTGGTAGCTATTCAGAGGGTACTGATGCACGGTTACTGTTCACAGTACGTGATGATATCCGGATGGCATGTGTGGGAAAACTACTTACTACCCTTCCATCGGGGGCAGTGAGGGACTGTGCAAAAAGAGCGGCTCAGAGATCTAAGTATTGTTGGGAGCGAATCAAGGATCAGCTACGTTGTCGATTTTGTAAGAGAACGGCTATAATTGGGAACATCCGAGAGTCATTAGCAAAGCTCAGCTATGGTGGTCCTGGTAAGGTAGATCAGTTCTTGGACTCGGCTGAGACGATTGTACTTCGGTGTCATAAGGCGTATAAGGATAAGAGTGAGACGTTCAGGGTGGTCAGAGCGATAGTAAATGCCTTGCCAAGTGGAGTAGCGGAGAAAGTGATCTCTGAAGTGAAGAGGGAGGCGAGGTCAAAGCGTGGCTCTTACAGAGACGTCAGTGAGGAGGATTGGGAGACACTTTTACCCTTCTCTCTGGAGGTGGGAGATGTGATTACGGACGGTATCACAGTGGTGGACATCATCAGAGATGTCAGCAGGACCTCTGAGGACACCACCAGGAGAGAGACGGACAAGGTGGCGCTAATAGCTCCGCCGACGAGTCAGCAGGGGGTTGGGATGGCGGCATCACAAGGATCGGGTAGTGCAACTTCTACACATCCCCCAAAGCAGTCACTGGAGTCATGGGCAAGAGGTTTCAAAGCCTCGTTCGTTGTCACAGTCAAGGAGTTGAACGAACAGGAGATAAAGAAGACTTTCCAACCAGATGACTGGAGACCTTTGCGTAGTAGAGGAAAAGGCCAGGGGCAGAAAGTCGGAAAGGTGGTTGGGGCAGTTGTAGGGTATAGCGATGAGGTCAAGGGCAAGGCGTTGATGGCCAAAGTCGCTGGGGATGACCAACTGAAGCAGAAGTTCAGGGTAAGACCTTTTGTTTTCAAAAGCCAGGGAAACGGGGAGGGCCGAATGTGATTCGTGGAGATCGCGTTGCGGCCTTAGATTCATCTTGCTCCACATTAGATATAGGATGTAGCCAAGGGAAAGGCTTTCCTGCTCTAGATAAGATAGAGGAGGAGGAAAAGATAGTAGTAGAAGAAGTAGTCAGGGAAGAGCTAGATGATAAAGTGTGCTTGATCTACTTGGAGGTTCCGGTAGAGTTACAGGTCAGAACCGATATAGTGAGTGCAGTAGATCCGAAGCATAGAATTTTGGGAGTGAAAGGGACGATAGACCCAGGAGCGGGACGCACATACTTATGCTTACCGAAGGATCGAAAGGCGAGGCGCGATTGCATACCAACTACTAAGGTGGCGAAGTGGGCTAAGCTGGCGGATGGGAGCCGCACAGCTATCACCCAGGAGGCCGAAGTATACCTTACCTTGTGGCTCGAAGGGGAGACAATCACTGCTGGACCTCATGCAGTCCGAGTGTTGTACTCAGAGCAGGTAGAGGATGAGATCGGTCTGCTAATAGGCAGGGATATTGGCAGCAGAGTTGGTTTGCAGTTGGACCTAGCAACCGGGACGGTGTCTCGATCGAAGAGAACCATCAGCATGGATGGAGAAAAATTGGTAGATGATTGTGCAGCAGATGCCATTGATGTGGTGAGGTAC